GCCCAGTGTGAGTTTAAGCCACCGGGTCTGGGACTTGAACCATGGTTGACTACATGGGAGTCCAGCGAGATAGCCATTACGCCAACTGCTGGTTCCGCAAAATTATATTTTTAAGACAACAACAACTTGCCTCATCAGCAAAGTGTTCCCATAATATGCCCCATGTTTTTTGTTCTCCTGTGGTATCTCTCCAAAAGATTAAATCTATTTGTATTAATACTTAAATCCATTTGTTGCAAAATTGTTAAAAGGTATAAAAACCAATAGCCCTCTCCATGCCCAAAACCAAAAATAACAATCTATACCTGCCTTACTATAATTTCTAAATATGTTTTTCCCTTAAAAATAATTAAAATTCCTTAAAATAGGATCTTATTTTGAGTTACCTAGTAACTCCCTTAGATGTATAGAAGGTCTTCTGAGTATGCATATTGTTGCTTAACACCATTTGTTCAAAACACAGGGGGAATCCTCTCATTATTATTAAGGCCACATGTTGAAATGATAATGGAATCAAACTGTCAATGTTTAGTACTATTTCCAATAACTTTTAATTTATAAAGTGATGATGAAAATTAACTCTATAACCTGGAGATCTTGTAAGAATTTCCATTTTACATAACTCCAAATCTCCGAACTATGAATGGGCAGCTTTGAAAGAAGAGATGTAAGAATGAATATTCCAGATAACTTACCTGTCTTGTCATTTGCCAGACACAGTCAATGAACTGAAGAAAAACAGGTGATCTGTCTGCATCTGCATGGTTCTTATCTCCATGGCCAACTCTCTGAAACACAGAGAATAAAATATTAGATGAGTTTTGTAGATGTTTCTTTTTTTCTTAGTTTTTGTCATAAGGTGTGTGCAGTTGCCAGAGAGACAGTACAATGAAAATGGTACCACAATCCAAAACTGTGATTTTGGGCATGCATGCACACATGCCCAGCGTGATTGATTTTCAAGCTACCAGGTCAGGGACTCGATTCATGGTTGTCTGTGTGTGAGTCCAGCACCTTAACCCCTATGTCACCCGCTGACCCTGATGTTTCATTTTTTTTAATAGAAATAATTTTATTTTAAATAAAATTAACATATGGTCAGTATTTACGATTTTTTTAAAGAAATCTTTCCATAATCTTACCAAGCAGAATCTCTACTAATTTTGAAGTACAGAGCGCGAGATTTTCTTCTGACATGAGATGCTTATAATGAGAATTAACACTTTGTTTAATTAATAAATGAAACTCTGAGAAATTCATAATGAAGGACAGGAACAGTCAGACCTCAGAGCCCAGATGTCTGACCTGGAGATTCGACTCTCTCTGATACAGAGAACAACTGCTTGTTCCGTGACCTCAAGAAGCACCCTTCTAATACCTTGGCCAGTCCTCGTCCCATCTTAGCTCTAATGTTTCTTCATCAGAAGGAAACATATTAGCACAAATTTTTGAAAACCTGTTAAAAAATGCTTGCTCTCACCCTCCCTTCAAGCATGCAGTCACCCACCCAGTTTCTCAGGGCTTCCTCTGAAGATCTCTGACCCCGATGATTAAAACGAAATCCTACTCCATTTCCCTAAGCAGAGATTCTGAATGTGTGGTGCACAGATGTCCAAAGACCATGAAGTCAAATCTATGGCATTACATGCCTTTTTTCAGTGTGTTGGCAATTGCCCTAATGAACCGAAAGTGAGAAGGAAAAGCCTTCTGGTGCCCTAGCAGGAATCAGGCAAGGCAGCAGTACCACACCGCACTACAGTTACTGCAGTCTGCCCAGACAAGCACTTGCAGCTAAAGAAAGCAAAGTCAATTTCCTTGAAACCACTGTCCTTGACAAAGCAGTAAGAATGATTAATTTCATAAAATCTTCTCCCTTGAGTATACTTGTTAATATCCTGAGTGATAAAATGGTAAATACAAAGAATGTGCTTCTGTTGCATGCTGAAGTAGGATGGTAAATAGCACTTTATTAAGGAACATTTTTATGTGAAAGAAAAACAGATATAAACCATGATTGATAAGATTTGAATATTTAACAGACTTTATTTGCAAAATGTAAAGATTAAGTATATCACTTTAAGGAAAACCACTGCAAGTATTTGTTGCCATTGATAAAAGTCAAGGTGTTGAGTAAGAGTTAGATTTTTAGGAAACTTTAAGCCACCAACCACAAAAAGTCTGAAGATTTTTTAATGATAAAAATAAGTGATGATATTAATAAATGTGATTTTACACTAACTGTATATTAAAATGCATTAGAAGATCTATATAACTCAGTAAGCCAGTATTTCCCAAATAATATGTAGTGTTATAAAATTATTCTTGGGTAAAATATAGATAAAATAGAGTGAAGAAAGATCAATGGAATTGAATAGAACAAACAAACAAATAAAACTCATTAATTTGGTTTTTGTTTCAATATAGCCATTCCTTGCTTAAGGACCTGCCTATTTAACAAATGCTCAGACTTACACCAGTTCTTTTACAATCTGTATGCATTTTAGGAATCCCTTTCTCTGCCTTTGTCTCATTCTTGCAGTCATTTAGTATTCACTGTAGAAGTGTTCATAATCATGGAAGACTACATACTTCATTTATAAATTTGTACTTCATTGTGCATTTCTAGCAGTATTCAGAATAAGTAAAAACAATTATGCTGGATTTATATCATTGTGGTGTGTCTTGTCACTTTCTGGCATTTACCTACTATATGTTTTCTGTATGGGTAGAATTACATGATTCTAATGTGGTATCACATGATAGCTATTTAAGAAGACATACTCTATGGTGCCACAACATACCACAAGATGTCTGCCTTAAAGCTCTTCTCATTGACCAATCCACTTCACAACCCAGTCTTAGGTACAGAACTTGATTGTTAAGTGAGGAATGCCTGTGTCACAACTAACCTTTAAGAAATTACCATTTGTCAAGTTTTGGCATAGTATCAAAGAATTCCCAGGAAAGAGTAGTAAAACATTCTGTGCTTTTCTTTTGAGTTTTCCCCATAGACTTCAATCAGAACAGATATATATTGAGGCCAGCAGATGGCAGAGAAGCTACATTGCTAGACTCCCACATGGCTGACTGCAATTCAAGTCCGACACCTGGTAGCTTAAGTCACACCAGACGTGTGCATGTATGCCCAAGACCCTGGGAGGAAGATGGAGCAGAAGAGACTGTGGCATGGTCAACCCCCTGAGAGAGCCAAATATCACATGGCCAACAATGGTTGGAGTCCTGGCCCTGGTGGCTTAAACAACATGCATTCATGCTCCAAATCCTGAAGGGACAGAGACATGGAGGAAAAAGGCTGTGGCATAACCGTCACACTCCATTAGGGATCCTCTCTCTATCTCTAGCAAACACACACACACTAACAAGTGAAAAAAAAGAATATATTAATAATTAGGAAAATAAATACAGTAAGTACCTGGAATTAGCAATTTAGGACTCCATAGCAACTTCAAGCAGCCTAAAATGCTTATTATTTTTGGTTACATTAATATGAATATGCAGCTTAGGCAGACTAAAACCTCCTTCTTTGAAATAAAAATTTGTTTTAAATGGTCTTTTTATGATGAGTACATTGTATAGCTGTTTAAAAAATGTGAGACATCTGAATAAACATTCCAGATGCCCAGTTTTATTTAACAGTTAAAAGCTTATAAGAGCAGACTAAATGTTCCTTTCTAGTTATTTACAAATACTACAAATATACCCTGGCAACTATTGGATAATAAAAGTTAGCATTCGAGACAGCATCTAAGCAAACACCTTTCAAAAAATCTTTCAGCTAATCAAGAAAAATGCCTGCTCAGAAGCCAAGCCCTAAATGACTTTGAGGTCTCTGGCAATCTGGTTCCCCTCTATGATTCTCTAAATCCAACCCTCTTTAAACTCCACTCTTGCTCTACTCATCGCTCAATCCCACCCAGGTATTTGCTCACCCTGGGAAAATACGCCTATTTCTCTCTAAATTCTATGATTACAAGAAACATAATATGGACAACACATTAGAAGACAGAGGCCCACAAGGCTACTGTTCCCAAGTTTTCTGATTCCAAATTGCATGTTTCACAGAGAAAAGCTAAAAACCACAAACCACTTTAATCAAAAGCTCCATGAACCCAAAGCATGATGTAACAAAAAAACAAAGGCGAAAGTGCAAAATCTTTTAAAGTGGGCATAATATCCCCCATTCCTCTATTTAAGGAACCGTGGTTAGCTCTGGGTATCACACTTGCAAAGCCACGAGCAAAGTTCAGGAGACAACTGGGATAGTGAGGAAATGAGAAAAGACAGAAGAAAAGGACATTCAGTCTAAAGAACTGATATGGGGTACATGGCTTTTTTTTCTTCTTTTTTTTTTTTTTAAGAGATTTTTGCTATAGATCACATGGGCTCACCAGAGAGACAGAGAGAGACAGAGACAGAAAGTGAGAAATCACCACCACCCCCCCTCAATGGGGGAATGGCCACGCCGCAATCCCTTCTCCTCCATTCTCTCTCCGGACTTTGGGTACACATGCACATTTGCCCAGTGTGAGTTTTAATCCACCAGGTCCAGAATTCAAACCACAGTCAACTATGGAGTTCAGCGATATAACCATTACGCCATCTGCTGCTCCTAGCTACTTTCAAAAATTTAAAGGGCTGATTTGCCCAAGCAGTCATAATTCTGTTTTTTGGGAGAGGTTTTTAGCTATAGAGCACATATGCTCGCCAGAAAGACAGAAAGAGACAGAGAGACAGAAAGCGAGAAATCACCCCCCAGTGGGGATGGCAGGCTGCAATCCCTTTTCCTCCATTCTCCTCTCGAGATCTTGGGCACGCACGCACACGCGCCTGGGACTCAACCACAGTCGGCTACATGGGAGTTCAGCAACATAGCCATTATGCTAACTGCTGGTCCCATGCCTGACATTTCCTGGTAGAGATCACAGAAGAAAATCAGATCAGATGCCAGATGAATAGTTAGCCCTGGCTCTAGACTGCAGAATCACATTAGGACAGCCTAATATTTTTCAAAGCCCACAAGAAAGTTCTCAGGAGAATTTTATCCCTCTAGATAAATGATCACTGTTAAGTATCTTATGAATAAAAAGGATAATTTTCACATGACTTCAATAAGATGCATGCTATATATCGGGAGTCAAGGTATTTTACTCACTAGTTGAAAACGATGTCCAAAGCTTAGCCATTCTTTCTCCACAAGGACTTCGAATCCTCGGATGGTTCGATAGTATCCATCCAACATGAGCATGGCGAGGGAAGTGAGCTGAGCTGTACGATCCCAACCATCACTGCAATGTACTACCACAGACGTCTTCCCTGACTCTACCTTGTCAGCAATCCTAAGAGCCCCTGCAAGAATAAGCTGGAAAACATTTTTTTTTTAAAATAATTGTTTCTTTTCTTTTTTCTTTCTTAATTTGACCAGAGAAAGAGAAAGAGAGAGTGAGAAAGCAAGACGGCCAGGTTTGAGACTCAAACCATGGTTGGCCATGTGGGAGTCCAGCACCTTAACCATCATGCCACCTCCAGGCACTCTGGAAAACATTTTTTAAACGAAATTTTTAAATACAGCCTTCTTCAAAATTTATTAATACAGTTTTGATTAGGATGACTGTCTAGTAACATGGGGAGAAAAAACATCTTTCTGGCCCTGCCTATCAAGAATTTTTGTACATGGTAGAAAATACATAAAGTTTGCTTTTAAAACTACAAAATTCTCGGGAACCAGCAGTTAGCGTAATGGCTATGTCGCTGGATGCCCACGTAGTCGACCGTGGTTCGTGTCCTGGACCCGGTGGCTTAAAACTCACCCCGGGCGCGTGTGCGTGCGTGCCCAAGATCCCGAGAGGAGAATGGAGGAGAAGGGATTGCGGCGTGACCATCCCCCCTGGGGGGTGATTTCTCGCTTTCTGTCTCTATGTCTCTCTCTGTCTGTCTGGCGAGCGCACATGCCCTACAGTGAAAATCTCTCAAAAAAAAAAAAAAAAACTACAAAATTCTCATATATGTAGATGCCTATAAATTTGCACAATAAAATATACAGATGAGAGGTACCTTTGAATACTAAATAAATCAACACTATGAGTAAGATTTCTCTAAGAATAATTTCTAAAGAGATCATCAAATATTCCAATATCATTTAAATAAAAATAAATCATATGTCAACTGAAGCCTTATCTTCCTATTATTTAAAATGTTTACGTAACCAAATTAAAATAAGTACCTGAAAGCAATATATTCTATATTCTTGATCTCATTGTTTTAATGGAAAAAATATTTTTTTTTGGAGAGGTTTTCGCTATAGGGCGCATGCGCTCACCGGACAGACAGAGAGAGACATAGAGACAGAAAGCGAGAAATCACCCCCCAGGGGGGATGGTCACGCCGCAATCCCTTCTCCTCCATTCTCCTCTTTGGATCTTGGGCATGCATGCACACGCACCCGGTGTGAGTTTTAAGCCACTGGGTCCGGGACATGAACCGCGGTCGACTACGTGGGAGTCCAGCGACATAGCCATTATGCTAACTGCTGGTTCCCTCAATGGAAAATTTTTAATACAAGTCACAGAGCATACAAGCAAGCATCGTCTACAGAGTAAGCTACTTTTCTGTAACAATATGCATGACAATTCTCATCAAATTATTGGGTTGTCAGAAAAGTTGTGATTATTTGGGAGGGACCAGCAGTTGGCATAATGGCTATGTCACTGCACTCCCATGTAGTCGACTGCAGTTTGAATCCTGGACCTGGTGGCTTAAACTCATACTGGGCACATGTGCGTGCATGCCCAAGATCACAAGAGGAGAAGTGAGTGCAATGTGGCCATCCCCCCGGGGAGTGATTTCTTGCTTTCTGTCTCTCTGTCTCTCTCTGTATTTCTGGCTAGCGCATGTGCCCTATAGCAAAAACCTCTACCAAAAAAAAAGAAAAAGTTGTGATTTTTTTTTCCTATGCAAAAATATGTCATGGCTGTTCTGACAACCCAGTAATAATACAGTATATTGATTTAACCAGTATCTAAAATAACGTACACTCTTAATTTTTAAACGTACACCGTACCCAACCAACATCCTAGGGCCCAAGTGACGCAAGGAAGGCAGAGGCACAAGGGTGATCAGACCCACCACTCGCAGCAAGACACGGGTTCTTGTCCCACACTCAGGGATAATTAGAGACATGGACACACAGAGTAGATGTAACAAAGCGGGGAGTTTACTGAAGGAGTGGGAAGGGAAACCACGCTCGTCAGAAGAAGGGACTGGTTCCAGAAAATGGGTTGCCACTGCAAGGTTTGGGTTCCAGGTATATATTCCATCTGGGAGGAATTTGTGCACACGATCTCCTCATGGTAAGAGACCACATGTCCTAAAGGTTATGCTATGTCTTAGGGTAGTCTCATAGTTGTGAGAATGAGATCCTACATAATAATGGCTAGTTGGAGATAATTTGTTCAGAGGTTGTTAATTTGGAAAAAGTAATTTTCTCAATTAACTTTGAAGGCCTGGTAATCCATACCTTGGAATTCATCCCAGTTAGAGATGTCCCCAGCCATCAGAAAGTGCCTGGCCCCATTCTGGTCTCTATGGTCATGCTTTCACATTATCTGCTGTCCTGGACTATGTCCTTTGGGCCTTTTAGTCTTTTCTAACTAAGTCCCATTGTAAAGGGTCATGAATTCTTTAAGAACAAGATGTGTATCTCTAAGGGAAAAGGAATATGGTGACTGAGAGAATTGTGAGGAGCCACAAAGTGGCTCTCTTCTCAGGGCCCCCTGCCCTATCTACCTATAAATGGAATCTAACTCCTGTCTCACAACTACGTGACAAAGTTTTCCACCTTGACAATCATCCTATCAAATCAGTAGAATAACTATTCTGACAGATGCATAAAGATAAACACAGGGACAAGAGAAAATTTTTTTAAAAAAAGGTAAAATAACACCACCAAATGAACACAGTAATTCTCCAGCATTAGACCCCAAAGAGAAGGAAACCTATGAAGTGCCTGGCAAGGAATTCAAATAATTATAAGAAAACTCAGCTCAGAGAGACAAAATGTTTCCCATGTGGGCAGCCTGGGCACTGGACAATGCCCATGACTCATGTTCCCCCTACTGGGCCTTGTCCCCACTGTGCAGTTGGTCACTAGAGATGGGAATGCCAAGAGTTCTGAAGGGAGCTTGGGATTTCTGAGTCCATGCTAGCCTCTGAAATTGAGAACTGATGGGGCCCGAGACCCCAGTGGCTCCCCTTGGACATCTGGCAATGTTACTGGACAAGCCTCAGGTAACCTTTAAAGTGACAAATAAGAATTAAGGTTTTTTGTTTGTTTGTTTTTCTGTCTAAATCAGAGGTTAAAGTTGTTTATAAAAGTATGCTCACAAGAACAAAAACAAGGGAAAATAATAGCAAACAGGAAAAGGTGACATAAAAAGGTTACGACTGTGAAGTGTATTTTTGGTAAAAAAGGAAAGAAAGGTTTTACTATAGAAGAAATTTTGCATGGTACATTTTTTTGTCTAGGAAAAATGGCTAACATAAAGAAAAAGAGGGGACCAAAAGGAAAAGTCTTAAGCATGTTGTGGAAGATTTGAATTATAGTGGAAGGGTCTCAGAGTTACAAAATTTGATAAAATTAAAGTTTTGTTGATGAATGTTCTAAAGCTAATTGTACTGGTATGATGTCATCAGTACAATTTTGGTTGTTATCTTTAAGTGTTGTATGCAATAGAAATAGCTAAATTTCTTTGTTTATTATATCATTATTGTAGTGAATTGTTCTTCTCACTTAGAATCCATCAAACTACAAACAGCGGTTGGGAGAAAGCCTCCAGTGAACACCTATTACAATTCCTGGCACCTGCCTCTAGATAGAGCTCTGGTAGAGGATCCTTAACTGCTGTCTCCTCACCCCAGCATGGCTCAATTTCAGCAGTAAGGAGTCAGAATGGTCTTCGACCTTTATGCCCCCTACTAGGAGTTAAGGATTCCTCTGCAGAGGAGGAAAGGGGTACGAGGCAGGGATCCTAAAAATGTAGTAAGGGTATAGGTCCAAAAAAAAAAAACACAAAATGGCTAAGTTTTTAGATGGAGACAAAGCAGCTCAGCTATTTTAGCAGCTTGCTCAGGAAAGACTTCTTGCAGCAGTTGCCTCAGTGACTGACCTAGGCAGCATGACCTAACTCTAAAATAAAGACTTCTTTCCAGGTCCCAGCATTTTGGGAAGAGGAAAAGATAATGGTTTTTATGGCCCAAAGCCTCTAGACAAAGAATCTCCTGACCTTTGTATCCACTCCAAAATTAAGAGAATAACTGGACCCATCCAGCATGTGCGCCTCCCCACCAGGAGGGCAATGCATGTGTGAGTCCCACCTAGGACAAACCTAACAAGGTCCCTCTAACCCAGATAAAAACCCCCCACCCCAGTTATTCCTCACAATCCATTTTCCAGGACACTTCCCTTCTTCTTGGGAGCTGTTTTCACTTCCTTCTCCTTCAATAAACTCCTGACTTTGCTATGCTTAAGGAAAAATAAATAAATAAATAAAAGACACAAGAGAACATAGAGGATTCCACAACATTAGGAAAACAATACATAATCTGAATATGATATTCAGCAGAGATAGATATCACAAAAAGAGAACCAAATAGAAATCCTAGAGCTAAAAAACTACAATGAAAAAATTAAAAATGTGACTGAGAGCTTCAATAACAGAACTGATCAAGAAGAAATTAATTTGTAAACTTGAGAATAGGTCTTTTGAAATAACCCAATCGGAAAAGTCATGACGTGTTTTTGCATAGAAAAACATAAGAAAATACACCATGACTTTCCCAACACCCTCACAGAAAAAAGAATGAAAAAAGCCTACCAACCTATCAGACCATTAAGTGGAAAAAGATCCACATGGGAATTCCAGGAGAAAAGACAGTAAAAGGCACAGAAATGCTCTTTCAGGAAATAATAGCCCTAAACTTCTCAAATCTTGGGAGAGACGTATTCATCTAAATTCAGGAAATTCAAAAGGTCCCCAAATAGATTCAACCCCAAAAGATTCTCTCTGAGACGTATTATATTTTGTCAAAAGTCAAAGACTAAAAATCCTAAAAACAGTAGACGTGTCAAGTCACATATAAGAGAATGTCCGTGAGATTAATATCTGGTTCTCAAGAGAAACCTTAAGCCAAAAGAGAATGGTCTAAATAAATGTGAAAAGTGCAGAAAGAAAAAAAAAACAAAAACTGCCAGTCACAGCTCAGCAAAGCTATCGTTCAGAAATGAAGAAGAAATAGTCCCAGGTAAGCAAAAACTAGGCGAATTTATCTCCACTGGACCAACTTTACAAGAAATGCTTAAAGAAGTTCTGGAAGTGAAAGAACGATAACTACCATCATGAAAACACAGGAAAGTATTAAAATATTTTAGGACCAATACACAAATGAGAAATCAAACCTTAACACTAGAGAGAACCATCAAACCACAAAGATATTCAACAAGAGAGGAAGAAAGGAACACAGGAAACAGAAAACAAACTGCCCTGCACATTGCTGGAGATAGAGTAGTGAAGAGAACAAAGTACCTGCTTGATGTTTACATTCGACTTGGGGGAGGCCAGCCAGACAAAAATAAACATGGGCATAAACAGTATGGCAGATGGCAGTAAGTGAACAAGCCCCACACAGCATGTAGGGAATGCTGGTAGAACTGTTATTTTGTATGGAGTGGTGGGAAAAGGACCCTCTGAGATGATATTTGAGCACGGATCTGAAGAAAGCAAACAAGTAAGCTTTGGGAGTGTGAGGACTGGGGGAGGAAGAAGTAATCCAGTCAAATTATATGTCTTATACTTTCAGGGAAACTTGTTTCTGTTATAGTCAACTTTTTAAAGAGAATGTTGTGCCTGCTAATGAAATAACCTGGAATTTTTAGAAGCAAACATAGCAATTTATTTCAGTTCTAAATCAAGTGTACGGTTTTATAACTTGCACACCATACGATTTCATAGATGGGTCACATGAACACGCTGCTTGACTGAGCAGTGTTTAATCCTTGCTGTATTTACATTTCTAGGCTTCTAAAAGACAAACAAACAATAATAGCCTGTAATTATATTTTTCAAATTCAATCTGGCCCCTTCAATTCTGTCTGAATTTTAGACATTTTTAATATGAGTACAAGTCTGTTCTTTTATAACATGAAAAACTGTATTTCCTATTCTTCATAATATATATTAATATGTGATTATATAATTCTATATTTTGTTATGTTTAGACGATCAGAAATCTGAAATAACTATATTAACTGAAATCAAAGTTTCATGCTTCTGTCACTAAATTAGCATATTCAGCATTAGTACTCACATAGAACTCTTAAAATGATTTAGTATTCAAATGACATTCTTCATTCAACTACCTTATTTCACTGATCGGAATAATTTTAACATTATAATTGTGAAGCATTTATTGCATACACAAATTTACACAGCTAGTACTGCCTTGGCTCCTGAGGGGACAAAAAAGAAATGGTTTCTCCAGGCCTGGTTTCCATTAGTTAGCAAGATACGTTGGCTGGCAAAATAAAGCAAATAGGAAGAAAAAAGTAAAGGGAGGAGTTCAGAGAAAATAGAATGGATATATCTGGGAAGACTTTATAGAAGAAATGAAATATAAACCAAGATCTGAAGACAGAGTACAATTCTGATTAAGAGGGAAAGAAATGGACCCAAATTACACAATACAGGAAACTAACTCATTCAAACATCAAAATTTAGAAGTAGTTCTAATTATCAATTAGTTATCAACTTTTTTCACTCTTTAGAAAGGTATCTTTATATTGATTTCAATTATACAGAAAGAGCCAATATAGAAAAAAAGGTAGAGAAGATCCTTGTCTAAGAACAGTAACATAAACCCACCTTAATATGTTCTAGCCAGTGAGTAGACTCCAAGTTAGATAGCCAGTGAGTTTCCTCAATGTTGGGATAAACGATCTCCTTAAGTTTTCGTAATGATTCTCTCATAACGTGAATATTGTGGATATCCAGAAAAACTAATTCTGCATTTTGATAGGCATCTTCACTTTCATAACCTCCACCCTTTGCCTAGAAAAAGGAGCACATCGCAGCAAATCATAAATGCTCATCTACTGTAATGTGGACATCCATGAAGTATTCAGTAGCATGAAAGAGGATACATATTACTGTTGTCTTTGTAAATTCCATGAGAAAATGTGAATGGCCCAGGGTAACTTAGAACAACCACGCTCTACCTCATGCTCTTCATGAAATGGGAATATATACTAACCCTGACTTCCTGATGTGTACATTATAAAAATTAATGTGAATCTTATGTGAAGTTACTTAAATGTTTTAAAGCACAACGTTTTCCCTATCAAATTTCAAGTCCTACCAAACATAATTTCTTACCAAAGACTTCTCTTTGTACTTAATAAAATCACTGAAAGCACATGTCTCATTCACCCATGCTTCTTCCCCTCCCTGTCTCTTCATCTCTTTTTAATCTTATCAAAATAAATTCTTTACCACTGTAATAATTTGCTCTATTTTAACCATATACTTTTTTTAAAAAAAGATAAAAAGACAACATGTATAATAGCACAGAATACTATCATAATCATTTAAACCTACAAAACAAAATGAAAAAATAGTTGGTCTTAATGTAATTATTTTAAGTAATAAAAGATGCAGTATGACAAAAAAATAGTTGGTCTTCAAAATAAGCTATAGGCTAGAAAGGAGAAACTCGATTTTCTGGACTTAATCTTTTCATACTTTATGAATAAAATATTTGAGCATCTAGCAAAAATTATACTTAGAGCCCTGATAGAAACAAATACCGGAGCAGCCACTGTACTATACACAATTAAGTGATCACAGGACTCGCCTTTGAAAAATCAAAATTCGCCAATTCGTAACAACAAATTATCACAAGAATACAAGTCCAGGCTTTCTTTCCAACACTGACAATCTAAGAAATAGTTTGGATTCAGAACTGGTGACATGACAGTTAACAGTGATGGGCCAGCAGGTGGTCCGGAGGTGAAGGCAGCAGGATCCCACATGCTGACTGTGCGGTTTGAGTGCTGTACCCACAGTCTTGAAAGTCATGCCAGGCACATGAACATGTGTCCCCAAATCCCAAGAGAAAAATGGAGGAGCAGGGATTGTAGCCAAACTAAAAACAAAAATGATCAGTGTTTCAGTGGGAAACTTTTTTTTCTTTCTTTTAGGTTTTTGCCATTATATGCATGCACTCACCAGAGAGAGACAGAGAAGGAACACAAGTCGCTCCCCTGGGGGGATCACCACACCACAATCCCTTCTTCCCTATTCTCCTCTCAGGGTTTCAGGCATACACACACACATGCCCAGTGTGATTTTCAAGCTGCTGGGTCCAGGGCTCAAACCACAGTTGGCCTTAACCATCATGCCACATGCTGGCCCCTGTGGGCACCTCTTAACAAGGATTACTTCTGAAGAGTGGAGAGAGGACAGGTCCAAAGTGGAAGGACACTCAACTCAAATTTGTTATAACAATTTTAGAAAGATGCCAGTGGGTGGCAACTACCGAGAACCCATGACAAAAAGAGAATGAAAATGCTCTGGAACTGGATTATGTGATAGATGTACAACTTTGTGAATACAGCAAAAACATTTCAAAAAATGAAATGTACACTATAAAGAATACATTTTATGGTAAGTAAATTGTATCTCCAAAAATATGATTTGTTTTTTATTAAAAAAAACTAGCTAATAACATCACAAACACAAAAATAATTTAAAACAACTAGGTGATAAAGTATTTCATCAAATTCCATCATACCAACAGGTGCAGCAAATCACCCAAAGCCTGTCAGTCTGGTCGCTACCAGCGAATGAGGAAGCAGAAGATAGCAATGGACATAAGACAGAAGCGAAACAGGAGAACCCCAAGAAAGTCCTACAGATATTAGTATTTGTCCTGCTTCCTTATTTTGGCTTTCTTCTAAAACTGTAGGAAAGTATAACAGATCAGTTTAAGAAGAACAGATGGGGCCAGCCCCATGGCCTAGTGCTTAAGGAAGTAACCTTCACATATAGCTGACTGCTCAGTTCAAGTCCTAGACCTGACAGCTTAAGAGGTCCAAGTGGGACGTGCATATGGCATAATGGTTACATTGCTGAACTCTTACATAGTCAACTACAGTTCGAGTCCTGGACCCAGGAACTTAAACTCACGCTGGGCGCATGTATGTGCATGCCCAAAATCCTGAGAGGAGATTGAGGTGTGACCATCGTCCCTGGGAGGTGATTTTCTGCTTTCTGTTTCTGTCTCTCTCTCCAGTAAGCACATGTGCCTTACAGCAAAAATCTCTCTCAAAAAAAAAAAAAAAAGAAGAAGAAACGAAACTTGCCAAGTGCGTTTACCCAAAATCCCAAAAGGAGAGAGAGATGGAGAACAGGTTGTGGCACAACCATGCCCCATGGGGCTTGCTTTCTCCTCTCTCTGTCTGTCTGTCTCTACTGAGTATAGGCAACCTTTAGCAAATAAAAAAAAAAAAAAAAAAAAAAAGACCCGCTGGAACTGGAAAAGGGGTCTATCCATTCTCCTCCATCCCCCGAAATTTTTGCCTTAGGGCATGTGAATTGAAGAGACAGAGACAGTGAGAAGGAAAGTGAGAAATCACTCCTCCAGTGGGTAGGGCTACACCACAATCCTTCTCCATTCTCCTCTTAGGATCTCAGGTGTGCGTGCACACATACGCCCACTGTGAGTTTAAGCCACCAGGTCTGGGACGCGAACCATGGTGGGCCATGTAGAAATCCAATGACATAACTGCTACACTGTCTGGTGGTTCCAGGTCTATCCGTTCTAATAGGTAATAAGTGCAAAGGGTCTACAGTAAATGTAAAGGGTCTAGAGCAGTCTAACCCTTATAAACTCTCCTTTCTGATCAGCCAGGGATTGCTGCTGATAAAAGCATGATGAAATTGAGTAGGATAGAAACAATGGAGAAAAGGTCCAAATAAAAGGATGTATGGGGGCAGTGGGGAGTTAGAGTGTATGTGGATGTAGAGTAGGAATAGTAGGATGGAACCAGGAATAGCAGAAAGTAAGCCCCATATTTTTAATGCAATGTAGAAACAACAAAAGAGAAAATAAGTGAAGTTAGCTCTTCTAACTTCTGGGGACATCTAACTTCGGTGCCATGCCTTTTAACTAAACTATATATCCTTCTAAAAGTTTAGAAAATCTGATTTTTACCTACAAATGAGTAACAGAAGATCTTGGTCAAATCCCCATACAAGCTCTCATACAATAAAAGAATGATCAGCATTAATAACATCCCTACTATGCCCCACAAAACTGAAACCTTTTGGCTTCAAGCAAGTCAATGATGTTTTAAAAATTTATACCAGGCATGAAAACAACAAATTAGAATTAGAAAATCTCAAAAATGAAGTGACAGAACTTGAGAATAAATTACAAATAAAAGAAAAGTGAGAGCTTTTTTTTTTAGAGATTTTTTTCTATAGGGCATGTGCACTCACCTGAGAGACAGAGAGACAAAAATCAAGAGATCAACCCCCTGAAGGACAGCCACTGTACGACCCTTCTCCATTCTCCTCTCAGGATTCTGGGCATGCACACGCACATGCCTGATGTGATTTTCAAGCCACTGAGTCTGGGACTCGAACTGCAGTTGGCCATGTGGAAGTCTAACACCTTAACTACTAATCCACCAGCAGGTGTGTGTGTGTGTGTGTGTGTGTGTGTAGACTATATATATATATATATATATATATATGTCTATAAATATGTGTATACACACACACATGCACACATATTTATTTTGGGGGGGCATGGTAAAGTGCAATGCTCTCCGAAGGTGACCCACATGGGAAGATTCTTGGTTCACAGTTACAGACCTTCCTTGAGTGTGCTAGATATGTGCATGCCCATGACCTAGGGTGGCTGTCGCTGGGGTCATGGATCACATCATTGAGACTCTGTCATGTGTAGTCCCACTGTCTCTCTCTCTTGCTCATGGAAGAAATAGATGTGCAGACTTAAAATAAATCGAAGGGGGAAAATGTCCCATCAGAAACGACCAAATTATATAATACATTTTTAAAAATAGAAGACAAGGGGCCAGCTAGGCAGCCTGCTGGTGAGGGTAGCTGGATACCCTCTGGTCAACTGTGAGGTTCAGACCCAGACCCACTGGCTTGAAAGACATACCAGGAGTGTGCGTGAACGCCCAAAATCTTGGGAGAAGAATGGGAAAGAGGGGATTGGAGTTTGGTCATCCTCCTTGGAGGGTACTTTCTCACTTTCTCTTTCTCCCCACTCTCCCACCCATAAAAATATGTGCCCTACAGCAAATAAACAAATAAGAGGTTAAATGTACTTTAAAAAAATAATTAAAAAAAATAAATAAAATATGGGGCCAGCAGATGGCAGAGCAGTACATTGTTTGATTCCCCCATGGCTAACTGTGGTTTGAGTTCCAGACCCGGTGGCTTGAAACTCACATTGAGCATGTGTGTGTGCATGCCCAAGATTCTAGAAGAACGGAGGAGAAGGGACGGTAGTGTGGCCATTCCCCTGGCGGTGATTTCTCACTTTCCTTCTCATTATCTCCATCTCTTTCACTCTCTCTGGTGAGTGCACATGAGCTAAGGCAAAAACCTCTACCAAAAACAAACCAAAAAAATGGGTAGATACATGCAAGAGAAAAAGGAAAGTTTTAAAAACAAACTGAAAATATGGAAACACATAAAAGGACTCAAAAGAAAGTGACAACTGATTACAGAAGAGTCAATGTATGAATAACAAAGTCCCTGAAGAAAGGAGCCAAAACAAAAAAACACAACAAATACTAAGGACTACAGCTGGAGGAAACAGTCATGAGAACTTTTTAAAATTTGAAAATTCCAAATTGAAATACCATACACATATATTTGAGACTACAATCCCAGAACACTTAATACAAAGACATCCTGGCAAAATAATTAGATGGGAAAAAGAAATGCCTTTGAACACACAGTCCAAAAAAGTCACTGGGTCCAGCCTTGGTAGCGAAGGAAGGATTTGGTCA